TAAGTAGTAATTTTTAATGGTAATTGATATTATTTAGCCGAACTTTTTAATTGGGGAGGGTGGGTATTAAAACCCATTGAATTATTTTACAAAGTAGTTTGATCAAAATCGGAAAAAAATTTGATTAATTATTGCTTGTAAAATGTGTTTCATGCAATAAAAAGTTCGCTTTTTAACTAATAATAACTCAATGATTTTTAAAAAAAATGCACCTTAAGGCTTATTCTTTACGCTTACTTTGAGTTTTGAAACGCAGCCATTACATCTTTGAAATAATAAAGGGTATATCTGGATAGAATAACAGTTAGTCCATCTATGATGAAGCTTTTAATTAATAGTTAACATACGTATTACATATAGCAAAGAACAAGCGAAATATACTTGTTTGGAATCTTCTTCCCTCTTAACTAGCGTATAAAAGTGACCAATCATTCCTTCACTGTCCGGTGGTCACTTACATAAAATATCAAAAGATTTCTCACTCAATAAATTGCGTCTTCAAATTTTTCTCTTATACAGGACTTTAGAGGCAATTTAAAATTTACATAGACTTGGCACTGAAGCGTTAATATGACATCATAATGACGATCTATTTGAAATAAAAGAATATTGTTATACATTATAATGTCAGTATGGCTGCTTTTATTAATTATTATGTTAAAGCAGCAACCTAGACTAAATTGATATATTTTATGAGGAAACTGCACTAAATTTCCAGTATATCAGTTTCTAATATGGTGTTGTCAAGGGGACATGGTTACACAATAAACTGTTATTGAGACTTAAGTTTTAAATTAATTTTTTTTCAGTTGATTGATGCAACTGAAATCCAAAAAGTGTAAATACATTAATTTGCCGATATATTATCAGTAGGATGAGAAATGAAAACTAAACATTCATTTACTCTTTCTTACATCCCAATATAATAAATCATTTTCAATGATATTTCATCTTTATCTTGCTAGAATATGAGACAACAATTTATTCCCTACATTATTGTTGTTTGTTAGAATAGATAATGATATGTAAAAAATCATCTTAATCTTTTTAAAATATATGGAGCCACACAAATAATTCACCAACATTATATAATTGTTATTTGTTAATATAATTAACAAAATATCGAATTAGATAATCAATTATATCTTTTATTTTTTTATTTATTTATTTATTTATTTTTATTTTATTTTATTTTATTTATTTATTTATTTTTTTTTTTTTTGGCAATTCACTTTTATTTAATCTTTAAGGAATTACAAACAGCTAATAAAACCGTTTCTTCACGAAATACTGTACACTCCAAAGTGCTTATAACACAATAAATCTAGAAAGATTCTTCTTACATCTACAATTTAAGTTGTTTTACATTTAATCATGGCAAATTTCACTCAAACTCCATTAATAATCAAAGAAAGCATTTTTATTTTGATCACAAGCAAACACTGATCATAAATACAAACTAAGTAATTTATTCTCGAAGGGTTACATTTTTTGTATATGCGAGTTCAAGTATTAAAATCTCTATAAAATGATTGTTACGATCTAAACATTCGTAAAATCTAAAATACTTTTTGTCACGTAATTGCATATCATTCAATGATGTTTTTTTGTTTAACAGACTCTCCTTTTCAATGACGTCATCGGAGAACCTGATGGTACCCACAGTATCGACTGTGTCTTCAAACTCTCCAACACCTGCTTTGAGCTTTGGAAAGGCCTCTGTTATAAATTGATGACCTTTTGCTGTGGTTGCTGTATCGCCATGGAGTGGGGTTGCGAGTTTGCGTACATCGCCTTTTTCCATATTTGGATGCTTACACCGTGTATCAAAGTGGTGGAGATTAACTGTGGAGTTTGCCAGCGTATGTACACGATGTGTATCAACTGCTGTTGCACACCCTGTTATGAATCAATGGGTGGAATATTCCATCATTTCAAAAGAACTTAGTTAAAGGCTTCATTATTTATTCCCATAATTTATTAACGAGGCCTTTAAAAATGCAAACTGTGATACTGTGTTACTGAGGCAAGACTTTGTACATATTTAGTCAGTTGAATAAAACTACATCTCGTTATATTCTTGTTTCTTTTTCTTGTTGTCGGAGAATAAATGCGCTATAGGTCACATTTCATTCAAAGTTCCAGATAAGCCAATACCCCTTCTTGGCCTCTGGTTGGGATGTCTCTAGGAATGATGCAATAGTTCATCATTAAAAACCTGTTGTCATCCCTCTTACAAATGAGAATTGATTCCGAGTTATGGGATACAAAAATGGCACATGAAGGTCACGAACTATGTCAATTTCCAAATTTCTTATTTTAATGCAGTTTTTCATCAATTTTAAAATCATTTTGTTTCAGAAAACACAGAACACAAGCTTGCCTACCTGCCAAATCTAGGTATTTCGTGCATTAGAAACAGATGCATCTTGTGTATTCAGATAGGTAAGCTAGTGCTCTGTGTTTCCCGAAGTGACAAGTATATATCTCAAATTTGATGAAATTCAACCAGAATTGTGGAATTCAGTAAAATGTCCTACTTTGGCATCCTCTTGTGGCCTTCATGTACGCATTTAAAGAAATCTAATACTGTAGATTCCTTATTTTTCGCGAGTACTTATTATCGCGAAATGGCTCTTTCACATCAAATCGCGAGAACAATAATTCACGAATGGACGGTTGATCAAGGGATTTTACATTGATTTCAGCACCATAAAAATAAAATTCGAGTAATTTTATTTCGCGAGTGGTTCTTCTCGCGTAATTACGCGATAATTAATTCCTCGCGTATATTTAGGAATCTACAGTACTGGTCTTAAAACAAGCAGTATTTAAAATTCTTAACTGCAAACTATCAAAATTTTATCCGTGTCTTAATTTTTATATTAAATTTGGGATCAGCAAATTCGGTCGTTAACAAACCGTGTCCTTCTTGTTAACACCAGTGTAAAATTTAAAGCCTCATATCTCATGGATATAATGGAAAGAAAGTGAATTAAATGTAGTTTTGCTTTATCAACAACTCTTAGCTACTAGTATTTAAGAGGACAAAGACAACGCTTGAGCAAGAGAAGATGTCTTTCACAGAAATATATTTTACACTGACTAGAATTTTTTGAGTAGGTTTCATATGACTCGAGAGTTTGATTGTTCAAGAACATTCATCTATTCGTCGCTAAATTTTACACCTTGTCATTAGACGTCTTTAATATATAAACATGATAAGTTAGAAAATCAGCATGCTTCAGGAGTACTGCATATTCCTAATTTTACGTGAGAATTAATATCGTGGAATGTCTTGAAGACGTTAAATAGAGTGAACATGAATTCTCGAGTGGTCTACTGATCAAGGATTTTTTTAAAATGTATTTCAGCAGTATAAAAATAAAAGTGAATTTTAGTTTAATTTTGCGAGCGGTGCTTCTTGCGAACTTTGAGATAAATCTTTGTTATAATAAATGGGTTTTCTGTAAACAGATAAAAATTGTAAGGAATCATACGCATAAACAACATTAGTTTCCTGGGTCTTTTAGTTTTAGGATTTTTTTTTGGGGGGGGGGGGGGGCTTTCATCGACAAGGAAACTGTTTTATTACCAAGTTGTGTTTAAGTTTGGAATAATGTGTCATGTTCAATACAAGACATTTTAAAAGAAATAAACAAAAATTACCAAAATGGTAATAATAAACTGTTAATTCAAACTCCTCTTGTTGCTCAAAGAACTTTTGATTTCTTGTTCAAGTATGGGTAGTATAAGTAGGATTTGGCAAGTCTAAAAAAGCAGATATACAATGTAATAGCATTAAAATCAGGGGAAGTTTGGCATGGATCTCTCTTTCAGCAAGCATAATTGTTAAAAACATACGAATTTTTTCATGTAGTATCATCATTACATTTAGAATTTGAAGGAAATGAGTGATGAGAAGCAATATTTCTTAGGATGCCCAATATAAAAATACATGGCGGGTGTGGGCGGTCTACTGGGAATGTTCACTTATCCATGGCACCTGATCCCCTCTCCGATGTGTTAGAAGTTCTTGTTTAATCTGCTCACTATTTGTATTGTTTCACTGGATTTTGGATTATGCTTACTGTTCGTTCTCTTCACATTTAACTTTACGATATCTTTATGTAATCTTTCCACCTTTCCTTTATCTATGTTTCCTTCAGTATTCCAAACTTGGGGTAGGCTTTTGATAATACTTAAAATAAAAATAAATCTAGGGCTATGTAGACTTTTCTATATGCGAAATCATGCCTTTTTCATACATAGGAAAAGATCATTGAGGACAAAACTTGAAGATATAGAATATTAAAATTTTAGTTTGTTACAAAATTTGAGGCTTCAACTAAGCATCTTATATCAAAAGAATTGTTTTAAGCAGTATATGAATAATTCTTCAAATCAAACGGACAATTTTTCTGACTGACAGAAGACAGGTCAATAGAAATGTATTGGTTTAAAATATAAAAAAAATTATGATAAACGTGTTTGCTCTGCTCCAAATGTGTATTGTTTTAATAAACATTTGAGCTTGAATACTGTTCGTTATCTTCATGTTTCATATATATATATATATATATATATATATATATATATATATATATATATATATATATATATATATATGCCTCTGAAATATGAGACCCAAAAGTTCGATATTAATATTCATTTGTTTTGGTACATAATAAATAGGTTAATATTTGTACTTGTGATCATTGTATACGCTTCAAATCTATATTGCAATTGTTGCCCTGAGAACGTTTATTGTTACAAAGAAAACAGCCGAATTCAACAAAGGTTCAATAGCATTTTTCTAATTAAATGACCATTGAATTTAAAAGAAATCCATTAAGTACTAAAATCAACATTGATTGTCATTTTTGACCAATAAAACCATTTGAGTTTAATATATACTGAAGCGTGCCTGACAACATGCATAGATACACCTGAAATCAAACACAGTGGGTATATTCAGTTATTTGTGAGAGGGTGCAAAAATGGTTGACAAAACTGGAGTTATCGATTTGGAACACAGAGATCCTAATGAATTGAACAGTCATCTTGGGGTAAGAAATGTTCACTTTAAGTACATTTTAGACTTACTGAGCAATGTTGAGCCCTTTTCAAGTGAATCTTCTTCTCCTCGATCTACAAATGCTAGTTTTATAGATTTGAGCAAAAATGTCAAAATAAAGCACACGTATGGGATATTAAAAAATGTAGATCAAGGAAGCTCTAAACACTAACAAAAAGTGCTTTTTGGACTTGGAGAAAAATATATCATAAAAAAGTGTGTATATCGAGACTATTTAGTTCATTTTCAAGAAAGGGTGCCTGCCTTATTTCTGCAGGAAAAATGTTCAAAAACAATGAACTATTCCCGAACAGAAATCACTGCTGTTTACTTACATTGGGAAAATGAATGGAAATAATGAATTCGATTACTTATTCTTGGTTTAATGTAATGCTAAGAATATTTTATTCTATTACAGATTGTGTAATTAACTGTAAATTGTCATTTTTCTACATGTATTTTACTTCTAAGGGCAGATCACTCTATCTGCAAAAAATTACCCTATAAGTAGAACTCCTTAGTGTGCAGTGTTTAGAGCTTCCTTAACTGCGAAATATATTCTGCCAGTGAGTTCTGATTATATTTTCCCCTGTAAGAAGTGCATTTAGTGACAACCATTTAGCACTCTATTAGTTGAATTTATAATGAGTAACACCTGGATTTAAGGAGTTAACCACGAAGCATTTTGTGAAAAAATCGTTTACTCTTTCTACTCATAATTAACTACAAAGTAAATCCCTATAATTTAATTTTATCTTTTTATTAGAAAATAATATTTGTCGACGTTAGACTGTGACGTACGCAACACAAGTTATACGATGTGAACCATTTTTTTTTTGTCTCCATTTATAACGCGAAATATTACACGAATTTTATCGTTAACAATCTTAATTTTTAATTCAAAGAAAAAATATCTTGTTTGTAAAAATTAAAATCTAAAATACATTTTAAAGTTTATTAACTTTTGTTTGAAAAGTACTGTAAGAACTTAAATTTCAAACTCTATTTCAAAACCCCTAAAACATTACAAATCAAATATTCATCATTTAATTGTAGACTCTCCTTTTCAATGACGTCATCGGAGAACCTGATGGTACCCACAGTATCGACTGTGTCTTCAAACTCTCTAACACCTGCTTTGAGCTTTGGAAAGGCCTCTGTTATAAATTGATGACCTTTTGCTGTGGTTGCTGTATCGCCATGGAGTGGGGTTGCGAGTTTGCGTACATTGCCTTTTTCCATATCTGGATGCTTACACCGTGCATCAAAGTGGTGGAGATTAATTGCGGAATTTGCCAACGAATGTACACGATGTGTATCAACTGCTGTTGCACACCCTGTTATGAATCAATGGGTGGAATATTCCATCATTTCAAAAGAACATAATGAATATTTCGGGGGTATATGTCACCATTTCAAGAGATTAAGATCAACATTTCAAACTTGTGAATCGAGATTTTTTGCTCATTGTATACAAACAATTCTTCTTTCGTGACAAATGTTCAATGAAAATTATGCCTTCTTCTTTACTTAAAATTTTCTGTTGGTTTAAGAAGAATAAAATTGCAGAAAAAAATTAATTACACATGTATCTTTGTTTGTAATTAAACTGTTCTGATGTTTGTGGATTAGTAAAGAATCAGTGCTTTTAGTACTCTGATTTCAGGTACTCATTTTGCTTTCAAAATTTAGCTATTTGGAAGTTTTTTTTATTAATTAGCACATTCACGCATTAGATCTTTCTGAGCGTGCATTCAAAATATTTATTTTGAACTACATTTAATCAGAACACTTCGGGCCTTTCAGAGAGAAACTTTTATCTGTTAAGGTTCATTGTTATAATCAAAGTACTGAAAGTACTGGAAAGAGCTAAGCAATGTTTACAATTTTAAATTAATCAGAATTTGTTTAAATTTAAATTTCCTGTTGCATTGGAATAGGTAATTTGGGGCGAGTGTATTTGTTAAATGCATATTTACTTTAAAATAAACTAATACCTGCCTCTTCAATCTGCACGAGGAGACATTTGAACTTTGTACACTGTGACCTCACATGATGCCATATATAAGTTGCATTTTCATAACGAAGTCTTTAAAGGGCACATATTTTACAAAGAGAATTTAATTAACAGCAAATTTCCTTAAAGCAAGTGAGCTGTTTTTTCTCTGTTTACTCACATGATGCCATATATAAGTTGCATTTTCATAACGAAGTCTTTAAAGGGCACATATTTTACAAAGAGAATTTAATTAACAGCAAATTTCCTTAAAGCAAGTGAGCTATTTTTTCTCTGTTTATCGCACCAAAGAGCAGTATTGTAGTTATGAAAAACAGTCTATTTGTGTTACATTCTGTGTCCAGAAGTTACTATTATAGAAAAAAGTTCCTTTGGATCAAAGTGCACAATCCAAATTTTCTTCATTTGAAGACATGGTGTTCAGTTTATTCATGAGTTTGCTTCCACATGGTCTACATCTCATTAATTTTCATAAGATTCTGCCTAAACTCGAAATTCCATTTCTTAAGAATTTGATATAAAAACTGCAAGCCCGAAAAATTTTGTTTTTTTCGATATGCCTTCGTCATAGTTATATTTATATAGGCAGAATTTTATGTGATTAACAGTTGACGACTCATGATACCGGTTTTTTTAATTAGTAGGTTATACTAATGCAAAACTTGTCATTTTCAAATGAATAAGGTGGTTGTAGCTCTTCGCGAAATGATAAATCTTCCGTATTTAATAAAAATAGGTTTAATCTTGCATATATTAATCGACAGAAGACTCAACTTACAAATAATAAACACTTAAAAATCATCATAAGATATAATAAAAACCTTATTCTGTGCCCTGACCTTTAACAGAACAGTAATTATACTCCGCTTCGAATTTTTAAATAAAAAATGCGGTCACAACTTTCATTTGGGTATCACCAATTATGTAATTTTCCATGTTAAAAAAAACAAACGATCGTAAAATTTTATCCGATATGGTAAGTATATAAAAATGTATATAAGAATTTTTGTATTTTCTCTGTAAAAAAACTTTAATTTTATTGAATCTACCGCCTAATAGCAACAATACGGCCGACATACAAATGAGCAGAATGACCACCATTTCTCCATATTTTCGCTGAGGCATTCCTTTAAGCGTTTGCGGTTATGGGCAGCGCTCTACTCTAAAGCTAGTTTTAATTACTTCCTTAATGTCATAAAAATTATAAAAATAAATAGAAAATTCAAGTGCCAATCCCAGTTTTCTAAATTCCAGCTTAAAATGGCTTGGCCACAATACTTAGTATCAATAAAAATGTAATAAAATACAACATAAAGTTTTGTTAGCGTGGTTCACCCAGTTTTAAGCAAAATATTTCACCAGTACTTTTTTCAATGGTGTCCTTAAAACATATACAGTGATATACAATGTCGCGGTGTAATCAACTGCACAATGTCCTGGACTAAAGGGCATTTCTATCTCCATCGCGAAAGAATGCGCTTAGTTAAAGAAAGCACGAAATCAATTATTGTGTTGGCATTTTGTTTTCAGTTTTGAAATTCCCTATTCTTTAAAAAAAAAAAAAAAAAAAAAAAAAAAAACTGAAGTTCATGATTTGAACGAAAAAGAAAATTCTAAATATATCATGATATTCAAATTAAATTATTCGTATCTGTACACATAGGCTTGGGTTCTGTTTAAATTTATGTTAACGTTTAACCATGTGTACTCAATTTGCTGGAATTTAACATATACCACTGAACACAAACAGACAACAATGTTGTACTGGTTTCACTTTCTTATAATTCTACTCTTTGATTTTGTCGATTACTGTAAACCAATTTTTATTCGCGTGCGAGAAATATTCGCGACTTTCGCGATCTATTTTAACTCGCGAATATCAATCGCCGCGAACCATTTAATTTGCTTTGTATTTGTAGAGAATGTTTCCTCAGTCGCGAAAATTAATCGTCGCGGATTGATTTCAAACCGACTTATCGCGAATAAAAGTTGACGCGAATAATAGCTGGTTTACAGTATCCCTTTTTTATTGATATTTCACAGACTTTCCGACGAAGTTCAAATGATAGATTTAGCAATACATTTGCCAAAAAAAAAATAATCATCATAATTTGACAAATTCTGAACACCTGAAAAATATAGCTGACATTCCCCTTATTGATGTGCAATACTGACTGCTAAACTCCCGAGTGTAGAGCAGGGTGTCATTTGGTTTTTCAAATTTAAGATTGGGTGTTGGTGACTGATTTTATTTGTTATCATCGGCCGTAAGAGCGACCGATCTATTTATTAGCTGTTATAGGTTGTGTTAGAATATGCACATGGAGAAATAAGACTTTTATGCACATGGAGAAATAAGACTTTTACTTTTTTATACATGTAGCTTCCATAAAATAGTTCCTTATAGATAACATCAATGAAATAGATATGGGAAAACCCGAAAATTTTACGTAATTTTGTCAGAAATCATCGGTATACATAGAGATTTTGAGTATAAGGACATTACATTTGTCTTCTTCGTTTGATGATAAAACATTCCTATCATTTTATCTCCGATTCTCATATGCATTAATTATAATTTATTTAAACCAAAGATTAAAATAATGCCATTTCTGATGATCTCAGAATATGTGTAGCTGATTTGTATACATTTCTTGTTTATACTTTTCTACTTAGAAATAAAAATATGTCATATTAGAAATTTAAGGGTTTTTCCTGTAGAAATATGTATTTGAATCCTTCAGTTAAATTCGTACTGACATTTAATGCTCTGCATCAATGTTATCTTCTTAGGGTATGATATTAACTTCAACGCAAAACATGCTGATAAGAATACTATATCCATAGCACTAGTGTGTTACTCAGGTGGTGTGTGTCGACACTTACTAGTATTTTCTAATGAACTACAATGAGCAAATATAAGAACCGCCTTATCATCTAACATGCACGTATGAAGGTTTAATCTCTACCTTACTAATTGACACTTATTATCAGAACTGCATGCAACTCTATCGTGCACTAAAATAGCCGATAGAGGGACGGGGATTTCCAGTTGCATATTTTTAGAAAACTCAATCATGTCAGTAGAGTTATCTAACTTGCTTAGTGGCGCTGGATCGCCAACGGAAGTAGTTTTAAGATGACAGTAAGCGCTTTGCGCTGCGCTTAGCGCTTAAAAATTCAAAGCAACTTTTAGCAGCGCATAAGGTGACATATATAAAACATGATATCAAAAGTAACACACAGTTCTGGAATAACACGGTCAATTTTAACTACCAGATTTAAACCTTGTGAGAGTGAAAATGCTAAGTATTGACAGTGGAAACTTTGCAACATGAAAACAGTCTATAGTTTTATGAAATGTGTGAGATTTTTTTTTTAATACAAAGATTCTAAAAATTAGATATATGCTCCCACTAAGACCAGAGGGACGAAATTTGTGATTTTATTTTTTACTGAAGTGCCTTTAGGTGCATTTTATATCATTTGGGTATTATTTATCCAAGTGTAATCTCGCGTTAATGTGTGATTAAACGAGTTAAAAGTGTATTCTAATTCGCTATGGTGTAATAATACAATCTAGCAGCACTCTATCTGATTGAGCGATACAATATCGTTTTCAATAATTTCATCATTTATATTCTCAAATACATTAATATTTATTTTGTCACTAAGATTTGATGCTAGTCTTACTCTTACGCAGGCATTTCAAAAACAAAAAAAACCGTCAATATCAAGGGTACTTTCTGCAGTTAATTTTTGTCAAATTCTGAACAAATTTAAGATTTTTAGATATGTTTATGCATTCAAAGATTATTGTTATAAAAGTCAGTCAATGGAATTTATCTGTGTTAGTTTTAAGAACTGCATGCAACTCTATCGTGCACTAAAATAGCCGATAGCCGATAGAGGGACGGGGATTTCCAGTTGCATATTTTTAGAAAACTCAATCATGTCAGTAGAGTTATCTAACTTGCTTAGTGGCGCTGGATCGCCAACGGAAGTAGTTTTAAGATGACAGTAAGCGCTTTGCGCTGCGCTTAGCGCTTAAAAATTCAAAGCAACTTTTAGCAGCGCATAAGGTGACATATATAAAACATGATATCAAAAGTAACACACAGTTCTGGAATAACACGGTCAATTTTAACTACCAGATTTAAACCTTGTGAGAGTGAAAATGCTAAGTATTGACAGTGGAAACTTTGCAACATGAAAACAGTCAAATTCTGAACAAATTTAAGATTTTTAGATATGTTTATGCATTCAAAGATTATTGTTATAAAAGTCAGTCAATGGAATTTATCTGTGTTAGTTTTAAGACAGAATGGACTAAAATCTGGGCATTCTATGGCCCTATTTCTCGAAACGC